TTTGTTGTAGAGGGGCAACGACTTTATACTGAAAGAGGGGAGATTTGGATCAGATATAAGGAAGGAATTTTTTTGCAGTGAAACACAGGGTGCCCAGAGCAGCTGTGGCTGCCCCATCCCTGGAAGTGTCCAAGGCCAGCTTGGACAGGGCTCTGAGCAACCCATTTGAGAATGTCCCTGCTCCTGGCATGGGGTTGGGCTAAATGACCTTAAAATGTCTCTTCAAACCCCAAATATAGTTTAATTCTAAATACATGATCAGCAGCCTAATGCCCTTTCATACTGTTCACTGTCAAATTACATGCTTGAAATTAAGTGTGTCAAGAGCCTGGCACAATGAAATCATTTCAGCACTAATTTATTTGTGTGAAGACAGTCATTGAATTAATACCCTCGGTGTCTGTTTGCTGAATTGTAAATATGAGTCCTAATGAGAGCTCATTTTAGGTGGAGGTAATTCTGTAAATGTAGTGCCAGGTCACACCATCTGTGTTTCAGCACACTCTGTGTTGGGAAATGCAAGCAGGAAAAAAAAAAAAAGGACAAAAGCTGTCATGAGAATGTGAACTTCTTTCCCCAAAAGATGTCCTTCTGTTTCCAAACAAAGTGCCACATGTTAGTTATTCTCCAGACCCTGCCTTTCAGAAAGACTCAGCAAAGCCTCTCTTCCAGCAGTAGATCTTGCTTCTTCTTGGATTCTTGCTGTGTTTCTCCATTAGTTAATGAAAATAACTATGTAAGATAATGGGAGAACATTTGGTTTTCCATCATCAATTATTGTTAGGAGCAGCTCGAATATTAACGAGAGTGAATCAGCTACAGGTGTTAATGACGAGCTTCCCGTTCAGTGACAGAAGTCTTATGATCTCCCAGCACATTTTTGTCTAATAATAATTTCTGATTTCCATCTTAATCAAACCAGCTCCCTTGATTAATTCCCTAATGAGCCAAAGTGAATTACTTAAAATATGAAAAGATTATAGTCTGCTTCCTTAAAAAAAAGTTGGGTTTACACCAGCTGGTTTTTGGTTTTTTTTTAATGCAAATATGAAGAGAGGTCAAACTTTGCAGGTTCAAGTAAATATCCAGATGGCTTTGCTTATGTATTTGAAGAGTCATGAGGGGAAACATCTGTCCTGGTTCCTGTGAGGGGTTGCTGCAGTCAGAGCAGAATTACTTGTTTTCAGGTGGTTTGCTATATAGTAGGATATAAATATTTAGAAAATATTTGGCACAACTGATTTCCAGACCAAATGCCTGAAAAGGGAGTTTTTAAATTCCTGTCAGTTATTGCTCTGTGTCTGCCATCCCAGGTGATCCAGTGAACAGGGCAGGCACAAGTCCCCCAAGAAATGAAAGTGCAACCTCCCTTCCTGCTGTGAGGTGCACTCAGTGGTTCTATATTTCTTAAAACTTCCATTTTTCAGAGTCCTGATAGCGTTTGGAAAGGCACTGAAGGAACTGGGGAGCCCCATTCCTGCCTTGTCCCCAGAACTTTCAGGGAGAGCAGAGAAAGGAACCTGTCCTCTGTCCCCTGTGCATCCCCAGCTCCACCATCTGAGCTAAATTTTACTTCTGAATTCCTACCATAACAAATAGGCATCATGTGTTTGGAAGCAATGGGCAGGGAGGTGAATAACTGCTGTGAGGGCTCAGACCTCTGGAATCCTCTGATAAACACCACCCTGTTCAGCAGCTCAGCTGTTTTCTCAGTTCCCTTTGATAGACAAAAACATCACACACTTCATGCCTCTGCAGACACCCCAAAATGCACTGATTTTTTATTTTTTTGTCTGCATCTGTAGCATTAGAATTTTTTTTTTTTTTATTAATTTTTCCTACAGATCTGCAGTGAGTCATCCCCAGGCAGGTAGGATTTCTTTTGAAGAGGGAAAAAAGGTGCTTTTCCAGCATGAGCAGAGTTGGGATTTATAACAATGCTGAAATCCCTACTGCTGGTAGGATGCATTCCAAACCTCATTCATGCAAATCCAGATCTTCTGAATGAGAAGGAGCAAAGTCAATCATCCAAATAACATATTAGAGAAGTAAAAAACACTGCTTTGCTGTTAATGAAAGTGGGTTATGCTTTTAATGTTGTTTTCAACATCTTAGTTAAGGAGTCCCAGCTACAAAATCACCTCAGCATTGTGGAAGTTCTTAGTAAAGGAATTTATTGTTTTAGCAATTAATATTTTTGGAACAATTTTTTTTTAAGTTGTTATATTCTTAATTTTCCACCACATAGTTTCTATGAGAAAACTAACAAATCCTTTAATATGGACAGGAGTCCACAGGGTTATTTTTACCTGGAGGTCTTCTTTCCATACTGAGGATGTATAAACAAATAAAATTTAATGATTGTGGCAATCTTAAGTGTAACCTATGAAAATGTCAAACATCTGCCTGTCTCTGATCATTTTGAATAAATTATTTTGCATTCTTCTGTGTTTCTGTCATCTTTAGCATCAAAATTAGCATCCATTTTCATTTTATGGAGGCAAAAAATCATACTGGTCTTTCATTTCTTCATTTTTCTAATTTTAATTTAACTTTCCTTGCTGAAATATCTTAATCTGTTTTGTAGAATTTGATTTTGACTGTATGTGCTAAAAATCTAAAAGGAGCAAAATACCTTTGTGGAAAATGCATCTTACCAGAGCTAGAAGTCAGTCATTGCTTTAAAGACTGATTCTTTAGGAATAAAAGTCAAAATACGACTCAAGGACTGGTTTTCAACTAAGATTTTTATTCCACTGTAATGGCTTCTCTTTTTTCAAAGCTATTTTTAGTAATACAATTTATAATAACTTGTCCAAATTCCTGAGAGCATTTTATCATTGCCCATGACTGCAGACGGTTCTCTGATAGATCTTGGTATTTAATGGTTTTGTCATTAAGGTTCTCATTGGAATAATTTATCATTAACTTAATTATTTATCATTCTTTTCTAAAAGAAGCCCACGGAACTCTAAGGATTTCGGCAATCTGAAAATTACATCAATCTATAAAACTCAAAGAGAGTTCCATTTGATTTCTATAATTGAGTAAAAGATAAGAAAAATATATGGCCCCTGTGCTTTTATAAACACAGCCCAAACTGGAGGAGTTTTCTGGGATGCAAGCTGCCATCCTTGCATTTGTTTGGATGTGACCTATTTACAATTACTGCTGCTGTCTGGTTTCCTGTGGCCAGTGCATTTTTAGAAAGTTTTCAATAGAACAGCAGCATTAAAAATAGAACAGAACTTTTGAATTTTTTTTAAATCCTTTTTGGAATTCTGACACACCTTGCAGTTCTGTCCCAGGTGGACGTTTACAGTGGGATCCTGGCTTTGGCCCACTGTGGAGGCAGCTGGGAACCTCAAGTGATATCCCAAATTCTCTCCAGCCCTTAGAAGAGCATTTTTGTTCCAATCTCTTGGAGGTTGTCTGCTATTTTTCCTTCATCTTTTTCTGTATAATCAGATATTATTTCCCTGTAAGAGGAAGTAATTATAAACTCCACCTGATGTAACAAGGGGGTGAATGCAGACTGCTCTGTGCCTGAGCACCTAAATAATTTATTTTCCTTGTTTCTAACAGCATTGGGAATTTGTGGGAAATTAATTTGTAGAGAATTTTTAAAGTTTGATAGAAGGTTTATGTAGTGTATATTTGTATGTAAATTTTGAGATAAGAAATATTTATTTAGAAATGTTATAGACTAGGATAGATCGTGTTGAGAAATAAATTGATATAGAAATAAGTTTTAAAGGACAGTTTTGTAAATAAAAATAGATATTTTAGAAAAATAGAATTATGAAAGATGTATTGTAGTGAGATTGATGGGTAAATTTGGACAATTAGTTTTAAAGTATGTATAGTATAGTGTGGTTAAAGTTGATAGGTTAAGAAATATTTATAATAGACTGTAATTATAAAATTGTTGGGTTTTGATTGTAATAGTGTGAATTATAATATTTATATTGTTTTATTTTTTATATGAGATTGAAAATAAAATCAAATCTCTCATTTGCCCCATCTCTAAACAAACAAAAAAAAAATCCATAATCCAACAGGAATTCACACTTTGGTCAGAAGAGAAACTGTGATTAAAAGGTTATTAGTGAATTCTGACAGGTCAAACATGGCCAGTATAAAGATTTTTACTGCTTGCATGTATTGGTGCTGTTCTGGGATTCGCTGAGCTTTTCCTTCTCACAAGCTCCTGTCAGGGCTGATGCAGCTCCTTGGGAGGGTTCTGTCTGGGAACTGCTGCATGGACACAGCATCCCAATTCCTGCTCATGCAGCTCTGCTCAGATCTGTGGCAGTCACAGCATTTATGGCAGATCCCTACCATGACCATGAACTACTGCTCAGGGGAAAGGAAAAAGCCCTAAAAATATTTTTTCTCATTTTGTGTATAAATAATTCATGGTAAATTCCTATTTAAATAATCAAGATGATTAAGAGATGTCTCTGTGTAGTTTTTTTGAGTGGCACATCCTTACAGTAGCGGTGATTCCCTTTTTTATTGCTCTGTTTGCAATTTACAGTAACTTGGAGATTCACCTGTGTCCAGGGGCTGTACAGATAAACCAATAAATGATCATTAATCTCCAGTCAGGGGCTTGAGCTCTTACATACATGCTGCATTTGTTGTTCCAGCACAGTCTGGCTTTCTCCTCAGCACTCCCTGTTGTAACTCAGAACCCAGACTGAAATGATTTCATGACTTCTAGACCTCATCTTCTGATTTAAAATATTTCATGATTTCACAAGTTATTGAAAGGGTAACACTGTTCACTTCTGCCTTATTTTGTTCAGGGAAATGGCTAAAGGAAAAAAAAAAAATCTAGCTGCAGCAGCATGATTTCAGTCCAACAGAGTTTATAAAAACTGCTTGTGTTTGCAAGGAGCAGCTTGTAATAGACCTTGCTGGTTAACAGAACATTTCCTTCACATTTCAAGTTAAATGGAAAGCTTTCAAAATTCAATTATGGACTTTTTCCTTAGGTTGGCTGGCAGTTAAAGAACCTAGTAAATGCACTGTGGGAAGACCCAAATGGAGTGATTTTAACCTTGAAAAAGCGTCCTCAGAATACTCTGGTTTCTGCTCCTGCCCTTCTGAAGAATGTGAGGTGGAAACCTCTGGCACTGCAGGTAAGGTGGCTGCTGCAATGTCCTGGTAAATCCTTTATTCAAGAGAAAACACTGGAATTTTACCTTCCTGGGAAAGGAGCAGGAGCCTGTCCCACACTCCTCTGAAGCAGAGTGCTGGGATAAATAAGTGTGGCAATGATCTGATTGTTTTCTCCTGGTTTTAGTGACTCTGGGAGCCACAGGAATTCAGACAAGGAAAGAACATTTACAGAAAGTTTTATGAAGAACAAGGTTCAGTGGCTGCTCTGCCTGGCAGAGGCAGCTGTACCTCCCTGTTTCCATTATTTCACCTTCTTGTTTGTTATCAAGTGTGTCAGAGCCATTAAATTCCAAGAGAGCTCTGCTCCTGTTGCACACTTCTTTTGCAGCTGGAGTTTTTGGTAGTAGGGGTGATAGAACCTGGTATTTTTTGTGTTCTCATTCCTTGAAAACCTGCTCAAGCAAAAAAATAAAAGACCATTGTGAACATCACAGCTGCTTCTTCCTACAGCAGGAAAAATGGCTGAAACACTGAACCCAAAATGTCATTTTTAAAGGAAAGGCTTGCCAGTAAGTCAGTAACTTTTGATGGTTGTCTTTAATGCCATTTATCATCCTGTAAGAAGTTTATGCACTTCCATCATGTGGAAGCTTCTCAGAGCTGTTTTGTTTGGTTCACACAATACACAAATGTGTTTCTGAATTATTTTGAAATTAATGAAACAAAACAAACCCTTCAATCTTATCCAGGCAGATTTCCTCCCTGTATGGCATTTTCTAAATCTTTCATTTCTCAGAGTGCCTGAATCCTGCACGGTGGCTTCACTTAAGGAGTTTGTAATCCTTGCAGCCCAGGAATGCTGACAGTGGGATTTAGGGTCACCTTTCTTTCTCTGTGCCTGCCCCTGGGGGAGAGGAACGGGAAAAATCCCAGAGGGCATTTTTCTGTCATCATGTTGATGGAATAACATCCTTTGCTCTGGCAAGATGGTCATGTATCATCTGTCAATTCAGATGGAGCTTCCAGGGGCAGCAAAATGGAAATTACAATTGCACAGGGCTTCCAGAGAGATCCTCACTTTCCATTTGTACATTAAAGAATCAGAATTCCTGGGCAGCACTGGATCTGGAGGCTGTGGCAGAATGAACAGTGTGTGCTGTACACACTGCATGTATGGCACAGCTTTTGCCATCAAAAATGCCAACAGAAAACTGAAAGTGCACCAAGCTGCCTGTGTGGACTTACCAGCAGTTCTGGTTTTGTGATGTCTCCTCTCCTGATGAGCCCCTGAGGAGCAAAGGGTGCTTGAAGTGTCTCTTTCCTAAGGTGTTTTATATCAGAGAATAGTGGGGTGAGGTATTTAAATAAAAATATAAACAATTTGGAAAACAAAAACAGCCCTGCCAGTGTTACTTCTTAAGAGTATATTCTGTTATGAGGCATGGAAAACCAATTTTAGGTCTTTTATTCTTCCTGCCACAGAGACAAGCCCGAGTGTTAGGGCCTGGATCCGTTTCAGGACGCAGGTTTTGGGTTTGCCTGTTTCCCGCAGCTCTCACCTGGATCTGGTGTTATTTATTATTGTCAGTAATGACTTGGAAGCAGCCTGATTAAATTTCAAGATGCCACTGAAGCCTGTGCTTCCTGGACAGCTGACACAACAGCTTGTTGCTGCTGGAAGCAGTGAGCTCACTTCCCTCTCCTGTTGGCTCCTGCTCCTCGCCTTTCCTTGACTTTGGCACTTTGCAGACTCTAGAGCAGTGGAATTGGTGGGAGAATTTTTGGGTTTCTTTCTTTGTTTGTTGTTCTGGAGGTTTCTGCTGCTCATGGATAAAATTGGATCCCACAGAACAGGCTTTGGGATAAGCAGAGAACACAGAACAGACAGGGAAAAGCAGGACGGGGAACGGCCAGACAGCCACGAGCTGCAGGAAAATACCTCAGAAAAAGCAGATTGAGAGGGAAACAGCTCATCAAAAGTCAGACTGCCACAAAAAAGGGATAACACACATGGGTGCGTTGTAGTTCATGGAGTGTTCCAGTTCTAGATCTGTTGCCCTAATTCTTAAGATTTTCTAAAGCCTTCTGAGTTTACATTCTTGTAGAGAACTTTCTCACACAACTTTCTGTAAACAATCTATTGTTTTGCATTCCTCCATAAAAGCAGAGAAATTTGATGTACTAGTAGTTTGTCCAATGTCATTGGAGAGGGGGCACATTCACCCTCCAATCCACTGTCACCTTTGGAAAAATATAAATGCTGGAGTCAGAAAATAAACTTCCTCTTTTTCACCTTTGCAATAGCAGCAGCTCGTGTCGTACTTTCACGTGTCCTGTAGTGGCACAGACCCACACATGTTTCTCTGCTTTCTCTGTTTTCATGGTGCACCCTATATATCTATTTATGTGTCCACACGTGGAGCAATTTTTTCCATTCTGATTTAAAATGGAATGGAAACCGTTCCATTTTCTGGAAATCAATTTTCTGCTGGCAAAAAAAGCCCCCGAAAATCAACCAAAACAAAAGCAGTACATAATTAGGGAAGGCAAAAAGGAAATAGGATGTAAGAACTTGAAATCATATTTGTTACCTCAGGTTGGTGCACAGCAGGAAGTTTTAAATAAAAGTTGTGTTTTCTATTGTTGCTTAAGGCACTTAAAGAGGTTATTAATATTTTTTTCTACAATAATTAAGTTTAAAATTATACCACGTAGGTAATTTATGAATTATTGATGATACAGAATCTGTGAGGCCTTATAAAATATGTTACTTGACCTTGTTGTAGTGTTCTTTTGCTTTAGAGGGTTTTCCTTGATGCTCAATTAACAACAGCAGAGTTTTCATTTGCCAGTTCTGTGCTCCATTATCTTTCAGTGAGATTTGTGACACCATTTCCCCCTTTTGTTTCTGGCTGACTTTATGTGATAGTAAAAGATTATTTCAATTTGTAGACTCCCTAATTGTTTTCCCACTCAGGACAAAATGTTTGTTTTTCATTTGCAATGGCAAATAGTGCTCTGCACACTACAACTTCATTCAAATAAAATACAACATATATTGTATTTTTTTCTTTTTATTTGGAGAACTTTTCAAATTGGAATAATCCTTCTTGTCATAACTAATTGATCCAGAACAATTACATCATTTATTATTTAGTTTCACAATAAGCATAGAGAACTAATATAATTTTGACCCCTTTGTAGACTATATTTCAGTTCAGTGTTTACCTCTAGAGGATAGAAAACATTTTATTTAGAAAAAGATTGGTGTTTATAGCTTTCATCTAAATTTTGAGTCGCTGGGTTTTTCTTCCACCTGTAGAAAACTGGCTGTATCTATCTAAGCATAACTTTTATAAATAAAAATATTTTCTATTTCTTGAGTATCAACACAGACTGAACCTTGGTTGAAAAATATTCTTTGTTTATATCTCTGTATCCTGTACAGCATATTTGGTTATCATCCTTGCAGACCATGGACTTGAGCTGCTCTGTGACATCTGAATCAAACAATTGCATTCAACGTCATGTGAAAGTTTAAAAAGTAAAAATCTTAAAGGATATTTATTTATTGTTTAGGTTAATTTATATTTCTTTGTTATTTACTGTAGAACATGCATGTGTATTACCAAGGCTATAAAGCCACAGGACAATGAATTCTGCTTTCTTAAAAAAATCAAGATGTTCTGTCCTTACTAACAATAAATCTTCCACTGAAACCAACACAATAATTTCATTCAGTACAAGTATTCCAGAGCTCTGTAATTAACTTCTGTATTAATGGCATTTAATACAGTGTGTCCTTTCTCCTCAGATAATTGATTTTCTGCATTGATTAAAGATCATATTTTGATTGAGTCTCAGATTTTCCCTTGAGGTGGCTTTTAAATTAATTTAATAGTTGTTTATCAGTTTCTTTCATAACTTTCTTGAAGCCTAGAGTTTCACTGGACACCTTTTTGGAAGAAACTTCAGAAATTAAAAAAGAAAAAGCTAATAGAAAAAAAGAAGTCAAAATTCCTAAAATTATGTGCACTGATTTTGTTGTTCCTTGTAGCACAGAAAACATTAATTTATTCTTCATGTGCCTTTTTGATTTTTACAGCCTGTGATTCCAACCAGCCCCACAAGCAGCTCTACAACCCCAACGAGTACGATGGGCATGTCCTCAAAAATGGACAACTCTGCACTCCAGGATGTTTTCATTCTCTCCCCTATGTCAGGACTTTATGGCCCCAGGTATTTATTTCCTAACGAATTAGAGGTTTTTGAAAAATAAAATTTTACACTTTGATTTCATTAGATTAATAAAACAAAACCAAAACCATCAGCCCCACCATGAAGCTGAATAATTAATACAATTAAGAGCTAAAAATACATTAAGCACCATATTGTTGTTTTGAGTGGCTTGACTTTCACTTAGATGTGCAAAATGTGAGTTTAGCCCTAAATCAAGGAAGTAATTAAAGAAGTCTTTAATCAATTAGTTTGATTTACTTTTATGTGTCTACTTCTACCTTATTCTTGAGCATTTCTGCAAGGGAAACCCTTGTCTGCTCATATTGAAACAAGTCCTTTTGTTCTCCTTCAGATCCTAGAAAACTGAATGTTTTTCTCACAATTAAAGTGGCACCTAATGATGGTTTTGTTGTTTTACATTTGTTGAATTGCCTCACTTATAAAGTGAGCATTTTAATTGCAAGACTTTTTATTTGTAGCATTTGGGAGAGGCAGTTGCACGCTGGAAGTTTCCCTTAAATGGTTCATTTCTCCATCGTCTTCTGTTTTTAGGGATGAAATTGGAATAATGTCTTGCGATGACATCAGCAAATTTGGAAAGTCTGGGATGAAAGGCTCTGAGTCCCCAAATTATTTCCTGGAGCACGAGAGTGGGAAATACTACACCCTGATTGAGGGGGAAGGCCACCCCGGGGGCTCCGAGTACGAGAGGAGCAGAGCCTCAGGCGTGAGGAGACGGGAAAAAACCCCCACCCATGGTAGGCTGCATTTCCTCAACCTTCTGATTTACAGACTGTGCTCTTACCTCTGCAACCCCCCCAAAATCTGTCAGACCTTGTTGGCTCTGAACAATAAACAGAATTTTACATGGAGGAATAATTAGAAAAATCACACACGAACATTCCTGGTGAGGAGTAAGTTATTTATACATTATTTTGCAGTTCATACTGGAACATTGAATGATCATTAAATTCACATTATTTGAATAGCCAGCATCTTTATTTACTCAATTTCCCCTCCCAAACTCCTGGAGATTATTCCTCTTGCAATGTTCTGGGCTGTTAAACTTCAGTGAAGGGCCTGCCTTGTTGTGTGAAAGTGTCTGTAAGATGGAAGGCCCTCCAAAATTCAGCACTGCATTAAATGCATGAGGAGTATTCTACAATGCACTCATTAGTGCTGGAACTGTACTTCAAAATCTTAGGATGAGGATGCCTAAATATATAAAATGCTATTAAACAATAATTAACTCTGGTTTTCTATAGAAATTCTGTGTGTACATAAATCTCTGTTGAGTGTACAGGTGTACAATCACACATGCTTGTATACAAGTGTATGGATCTGTATTTATGGATCTATTTAAGAGGTGTTGTTGAAAATTAACTGATAAATTTTTTTGCTTCTCTGTTTAAACTGAATTGCTTGGTGTTTAATGGGTTTGAGAAAAATACTGCTGAAATACAGCAGTGTATGCTCCATGTATTTTCAGTTGCTTTATTTTCAAGGCAGTAGGACAGTTTTGTAAAGCTTACAGATTTAAGATAGATTTCTTTTGAAAACTGGAATTATGACTGATTTTGAAAATGGAATTATTTCTGAGAATCGGAGAAAGAAAAGACCATAGTGTTCTCTGTGGGCAGCTGCTATCTTTTGAGATCTATATAGATATTTATTTATATATGGCGTGCCATCCGTAACTACTTTATTCACCTATTCTGAGGCTTTTTTTTCTCTCATTTTGTTAAAAAGCCCCAACAACTCTCTAAGTTTTTGTGTTTGAAATTTAGGAAAGGGAAAACCTCTCAGAAGCTTGGAGCAGTAAAGAAAAATGTTTCTGTGAAGAACACAGGTACTAAAATCCTGCTGCAGTTCAGGGGAGAGAATCCCAAGAGTGGTTCTGGTGGAAGATCCAACAGCAGATGAAAGGGAGCACAGTGGGGGGAAAATAAAACTCTTACAGCACTGCAGTCCCTGATTCTGCTGCTGCTGAGTCTGGTGTGGGGTTTGCTACCAGGGATGTTCTTCAATGCAGTTTCTCTGCCTTCTGCTCTTAGTATTTATCTTGTGTTTATCAGTTACACGGAACTTCCCTCCCGCTGCTGTAATTTGCTGATTGCAGCAGGATATCTGGTAAAAATGGCAAGCAAAATGGACTTGATGGTGTGTGTACATGCACACAGAACCTTTTCAGGGTAGGAAATCTTAATAAATCTTTGTTATAGGCAGGCTATTTTTAGCAACTGCTTCAGTCATCTGCTTGATGCTTGAAAGAGCTGTGACGCTGGAGAACAGGATTCCATCTTGGGACCAGTAATGTTCACTCTTTATCTCCTTGGGAAGTGACATCATTTAAAAACAAAATTAGAATGAAAGATAAAGAGAAATCTTAACTGTGATTAGAATTGGAGCCAGATGGGTGTATTTGGCTTGCTTACATCAATTCTTCCTGCACGGTGACTCAAAATATTGGGCTCTCTGCCTGATTCCAGGAGTACACAAGATTTTTTTTGTCTATGATGGACAATTTTTATTGAAATCCAGAAGGAATTTGGTTTTAAAGTCTCTGAAATATGTCTTTCTCTCAAAAATGACTGCTAAACCAGATTTTTTTAAATACAGATTTAATTAATCTGTTGATTAACAGACATGCAGATGAAGTTCTACTGTAGTGGAAGGTTTTGTACTTTTTGACTGAGGTGACATCAATCATCAAAGTGATAATGTGCCTTTCAGTAAAAAGACAGGATTTATGGTAGCTCCAACAAACTGATGCTGGAACCACAGAGCCATGGGCAAAGAAATAAAAATAAAACTTCTGAAGCCTTTCATGGCCGAGCAGCCACTTTCATTACTGCTTGGGTTGGCACAAACTACTGCTCCAAAATTCCAGCCCTGGACTTCCCAGGATTCCAGGCATTATTAGAAATAAGTTTCCTGTGCAGCTGGTAGGTGGATGGATACTCAGGCAGGTGATGGATATTGATAGGACATGCAAAATCCAGGAAGGTAAATAAAAAGTCCATTTTTTTTTTCAATGTATTTTTGAAAATCAAGCTTTTTTTTAAACAACATTGCAGTGAGTTTTTTGTTTTACTTAGTATTATACTCTGTTATTTTTCTGACTCTAAAATGCTCTGGTCTAAAGAGCTCTTGTGGCAATGCATATCAAACCTGTTCCATTTATGTGTTAGAGGCAAAAGCATCATAAACAATTATTTTTTTTTCTTTCACTTTATTCTGGTATCCTTGTACACAACAATTTTTTCCTCCTCAGAAGAACAACCAAGCTGCAATGTCAAAACAATTTATAGGTTACTTTTCATTGGGAAAGGACTTGGAAGTGAAATGAGCAGTTTACAAAATCACTTGCTTATTTGCCTTCTGTGATTCCTGTCCTGAATTTCTATTTTTGATGTGCTGTGATATCTGTATTTCTGTATAGATCATCTCAGAGCTTCAGATCTTTCCTTTTTTTACAGAAAAAACTGCTCAGTTTGGTTATGATGATCTTCACTTGCTTTGTGCCTTCCTGTCTTCTATTTTTAATATTTATAATCTTGTTTCTCTATCTTTTTATATTAGTGATTTTTTTAAATTGAAGTTTTTTTCTTAATTATATTGCTCTTCTAAGGACTAGAAGTTGAATCCTACATTTGTAGTTGAAGGCAGTCTCAGCTGTGAGGCAGACAATGAAATGTATTTTTCCATAGGATTATTTATCCACTAAATTTCATGGTGTGCACAAAAGTGTAATATGGGCAAATATCAGTACCCCAAATGTCACCCCTCTGATTTCCAGGAGATCTGGGGGTGCTCCTGGTTTGCTGCCATCCCTGTTCTGGTGCTTGGGTAGGGAATGGCTTGGGCACATCAGTGCCATGAAATGCCATGGATGGAAATTCCAGTGGCTGAACCCTCTCTGCTGGCTGCTGCCCCCAAACTGTGCCCCAGGTTTTCCTCCTGAGCCACTGGAATTTAAAGTTCCTTGGAATGAGATCTGTTGTCCCCAAACTGTGCCCCAGGTTTTCCTCCTGAGCCAGTGGAAATTAAAGTTCCTTGGACTGAGATCCCCTCATTTCTCACCGTGTGCTTTCCCAGGCCAGGGGGGTTTGTGTTTCCCTGACAGATCTGTGTTGTTGCCTCTCTATTAATTCTCTCTCTACTTTTCCTACAGCATTTTCATCCACTTAAAATCTGTTTCTCTCTTTATTCCCAACACCTGTTGAATGAGTGAGGAAGTTCATACAGAGCAGTATTCAAATAAATTTGTAATCTGCTTCACATTGACAAGGAATTTCACCAAAGCTGGTGGGGCTTCCCTTGAGGTCAGGGTGATGAAGAGGAGGCTCTGGGATGTTTCACTGGCCCTGAAGGCCACAGCTCTAATGATGGACTGCCCTGACACACCTGGTTGTGACACACCTGGAATTTATAGCCATTTACAGCCTGCCATTCCTGGCCTTCAAAAGTTACATTGCTTTTCCTTTCCTTGCTTGCAGGAGATTTGAGGCCAGTTTCGATGCCTACTGAGTACAGCTGGATAGGGGAGTCCAAAGAACAGAACATGTACAAGAGGGGAAGCAGAGGTGAGTATTTTTTTTTCTCTGCTGTTCTCCAAGATATTTTTTCTTTGTTGCTTAAGGAGCATCACAGGAAAAAAAAAAATCTCTTTGTTTTAAAGTTCCACAGAAGATATGAAACAGCCTGTTTAGTGCCTGTGCTTTTCTGTTTCTATTTCTGAAAATTAAAAATTTGTATTAGTAGGAGGAATTTAATTCTAGTATAAAGAAACATAAACATCAAGGGAAAAAGTACTTTGAAGGCTCAGATATGTGTTAAAAGCAATCTGTTCTAAATATGCACAGCTCTAGAAAACAGTTAAGTGATGTTACAGATGTAAAGTAGCATCCTCTGAGAACATTTTGATCAGTATGAATTAAAATTTGGAACAGGAATCAGCAACTATACTGTCAGTATTCAGACCAGCAGTTCTAATCACATAAACTTCCGTTGATCCCAGTGGGAATTATGAACTTTGCAAAAAAGAAAAGTGATTACATAGTTTATTTTTTTCCTTTATTTCCTCTGGCAAAAAGAAAAAATGTAATTCAAAAGAATATTCTCCAAATATACAACCATATTTATTGTGACACCAACTGTTGAAGATTCTTGAATACTATTTTCTAGAATCTTTTAGGCATGGTCTGGAAGCTGAGAGGAGTTCAACTTGACCCTAAAAAATGTGACAAAAATGAATGATACTCTTGAAGATCAATACAGGATTTTAAACTACATTTTTCAGTAAACTTCCATTCCAAGAGAAAATAAATTTCATTTAAGGCATAAGCCTTTTCTGATTTATTCCAAATCTGTTGATGTGTGTTTAGCTCATATTTCACTGCTGCCGACAGTAACAGACTTGTTGCCTGGCCAGCTCCCATTTTGAAACTGTGCCCAAGTATGCTGCACATCTCTTTAAAACCATTATTCCAGCTTGTCAAATTCCTTGAAATTACAATCCTGGTGTCTGGAATGGTCCCAGAGATGCTCCCTGCATGATACAACAGTAACATTTTCTGTGTTCTCCCTTTCACCATCCATGGTGGCAGTAAATGTAACGGAGCCCAGGGAGTGTTGCCCTGATTTTTAAAAGTGTTTTCTTTTATAGTTCTTTTTAAAGTTTTAAAGTTCTCATAAAACTTCTTTAGCCTTCTGATAATGTTTGAATATTTTTACTAGAGTCCTCATGCACTGTTTATGTAAATAATTATTATTTTGCCTTCTTCTTTGTGGGAGGAGAGAATTGATGGACTGTTGGTTTGACCAGTGTGGTTGGAGAGGTGGCAATTTCATCCTCCAATCCACTGTCACTTTTAGAATTCTATATATTGCGAGGTCAGAAATAAAATTTGCTCTTTTTCTCTCTTGAACTCACCAAGTTTCTGTGTACTCATTTTGTGTCCAATAGCAACAAGGGAGAGCCCTCACAATTCCCTGGACATTCACACGACTTTTCCCAGTTTAACAGGACCTGGCCAGGCAGAATGGTTCTGTGCTTGTCTCCTCTTCCTAATGTTTCTTTTTGCCTTCCTCCCCCTCCAACCACTGACTCTGAGAATTCGCTGCTGCGCTACCTGAGCGACGACAAGATCCTGGTGATCCAGGAGGAGCCCCTGGCGCAGAAGGACAGCAAGCGGGACACGGGCCGGAGGTCCAGGAAAAAGGGCAAAGGGCCAGGGAACGCCGGCTACCCCATCAGCCCCTCGGTGCTGGCCTCCACCGGGAGCGCCAGGCTGGAGCCGGGCCAGCAGGACGTGCTCAGCTTCTCCCTGGCCGAGAGCAACACGGTCCCGCTCTACCACGTGAGTGCCCAGCCAACAGCGCCCTGCGCGGGCCCGCGGAGAGCACCGGCTGTTCCTGCAGGAGGGATACAGGAATCCGTGTTCTCCTGCAGGAGGAACACGGGAATCCATGTTCTCCTGCAGGAGGGATACAGGAATCCATGTTCTCCTGCAGGAGGGA